TTGAGGAAAATCTTTCTCGATATATGGACATCCATAATATACTGTTAAACTTGAACATGGCATTATTCTCAAAATTGTTCAGTCACCCGCTTACCAGGCTTCCATGAACTATTGTTTTACCACTAGCTTATGCGACTTTCTTCCATCTTACACCCTTGTGTTGTTTGTTTCTTATTCCTTTCTATTCTTTTTTATATAATGGAATTTTTTTCAAGTAAGCAAATGATTTACTGGTTCTGATGATCTCAACATGCTTTTGTCGAATAATTTTGGTTTCAGGTAGACTGGACGCCTGAACTGCATAACAAATTTGTTCATGCAGTGGAACAACTAGGTATTGATCAAGCCATACCTTCTCGAATTCTGGAGCTAATGAAAGTGGAGGGGTTGACAAGGCATAATGTGGCTAGCCATCTTCAGGTAATTGTTTAGCTTGCTGGTTATAGTCCCAGTTTCTTTCAAAAACAACGCTGCTAGTGGCACTAGATGATTATAAAAAGCCATATCCATGTATCCTCTTAGGTTGACTCAAGTTACTTTTTTCCTTTTTTTTGGTCGAACAGAAATATAGAATGCACAAGAGACATATCTTGCCTAAGGAAGAAGATCGAAGATGGCCAAATCAAAGAGATATAATGCAAAGGAGCTATTATGTGCCAAGGCCCATTATGGCCTATCCTCAATATCATTCTAACCACACCTTATCTCCAGCTCCTATGTATCCTATGTGGGGTCAACCAGGAAGTCAACCGGCTGGTGTACAGATGTGGGCCCACCTAACTATCACGTATGGCAGCCTTTTCCGGGGGTACTATTTCTCATCAGAACTAAAGCTGTGTTTTCCTTTGTTTTACAAACCACTTTGAGCGGCCCTGTGATGATTTGCCATATGGTTGATGTTTCAGATGCACGCAGAAGCATGGGGTTGCCCTGTGTTGCCACCTTCTCAAAATCCTTGTTTTTACCACACTCAAGTGAATAACGCTAATAGAAGATCTTAACCTTCCCTTATTCTGAGTATCATGAGTAAATCTAACCATACCTACGGCTAATTAAACTTTTCCTGTCAAATGCAGCATACGCCTGGATTGCACAGTGCTAATAACGTTGATTATAACTCTAGCATGCCTCCAAGTTCGTTGGAGCATCATCCGGTAATGCCATACCTTCAGAATAGTTTATAATGCCAAGCTACCAGTTTTTACATGGGGCATCCCAGTTAAAGTTTTCACTTTCAAATCCTTAATAACTTTCACTATGCTTGAGCCTTGAAGATTCTAAATGGGCACGAAAATTTCCTTACAGTTTGCTTGTGTTGGGTGCATGCAGGCGGATGAAGTTGTTGACAAGGTTGTGAAGGAGGCAATAAGCAAGCCATGGCTGCCCTTGCCCTTGGGTCTCAAACCTCCTTCCACAGATAGCGTATTGGCTGAACTTTCTCGGCAAGGCATATCCACCATCCCTCATGGTTCCAAATCTATATAGCCACTGAGTCCCATCGAGAGTGACTCCGATGGCGACAAAATTTATGTTCTGGCTGGTACTAGAATTGCTGTTTTACCCAATAAGCAATTCTGCAATTTTTCTTTTTTCTTTTTTTCCCCTCGAATTTGAGATCCCAATTAAATGAACTGGTTAGGAGATGGAAGTTGAGGACCAGCGTACCTTGTCTGGTCCCTCTCGAACAACCGACCACTCTGAGGTTTCCACCAAGCTGATGATGTGAAGCTACACTCGAACAACAACAACAACAAGAAGAATGGACATCGATCCTATCCTATCCATTGCTTTTTGTTTGCCGGAATAAAAAAGCTCATTTCAGTGGGAGACACCCGTCTGGCAACATTGGGCGTCCCAGAAGTGGCCACGTGGTTGCTGATACTTACACCATGTTTGTGGCTGTAAATAAACAGAGTTTTGATGGGGATGTGAGTTGTGAAATGCACACAACTTTTGGGGCATAAAAGTGCAAGTGGCTGCAAATTCCAGAGTGAAATGTGTATGTGTGAGAGGGATAGGGTGGGCCCAGTAGTAGTCGTAGTGGAGTAGGTATCTAATAATGGAAACGGTGGCGCTTTTGTTTTCTTCTTCCCTTTTTTGAGGGTATGGCATGTAGAGAGAGTAACGTTGATATTTGCTGCTCTGGTGTTTGTTAATAAAAATGAGCGCAATCCAGGCGGAAGCTGACAATTCCATTTCATGTTTGCTTCGAAACATAGTTCAGTTTAAAGCGTTCCTCTGCCTCCCTGCCGGTCTAGGCTAGCTTAGCTTGTTGCTTTCTTTTATTTCCTTTTCACGTCCAAACTAAGCCAGACAAAAACCTGTTGGCCACAATTTTTGTTTTAAAACAAAAAAACTACCCCTAGTTTATGCCATAGATGTTCGAAACTCTTGTCGTTGTTGATATCTAGTCTTGTCAATTGTGATGGTTAGTTTCTTTGGAAGTTTTACAAGTCTTCAGAATATCATTTGAAAAATGTTGCTTGTTTTTGTTCAATGGTCAAAAGGTGGCAATCGAACGAATGATGTTCTTTTTTTTTTTTTTTAGGCCCTATCATTCACCCAAAAGAAAAAAACTTGCACATTTATCATATTCATAAAGGCTCTCGCAACGCATAATGTCGTTTTGGAAGTTCAAGGTTAACATGTAACAACTTTTTTATGTACATTAACTCACCAGAAGCCAGAAGATGTAATAATTACAATTACAATTCATTATTGAAATTTCGTATGGATTTCTTAAAATAGATATTTGCTCCAATAACCTCCCCTCCAGTCCAAAAAAAAAAACTCAAATGGTGGGAATATTTAAAAAAGAAGAACGAAGAACACAAGCCCAGTGTTATTGGGCCAATGACCCATGCTAATTTGGACACCAACAGAGACAGCCCAACCAACATACCCAATACAGGTTGAAGAATTCTGCGATAAATAATAGGAAGGATCCCAAAAAAAATATTTTAAAAATTTTAAAATTTTAAATCAGTTTTGTTTACTACACTTTAATAACAATTGACAACATTTAAAAAGCAAATAACAATACAATTTTATAGTTATTCCTGATTTAAAATTTTAGAAGTATTTTTTGGGGATTTTTCCCAAATAATACACTCATATAAGTTATCCATAATTTGTAAGGCAAAAAAAAGAAGAAGAAGAAGAAGAAGAAATATCATAGCAAATTTTAGATGTTGAATTCAACATTTAATATAATAAATTAATATATTCATGTTGTGGAGCATGTTGGCGTCTGCGTACGTGCTTGTGATTCGGGAGGTTTTTGATATGATTTTTTTTGTGTGGGTATAATCATGGTTGAGAGATTCGTCATGGAACAGTGTATTGTCATGGTTGCTGAATTGTCATGTTATGTTTGGGAGTATGTAATTATTATAGCTGAGACTTGTGAGTGGATTGTGATTAATTATGCATTCCCGAATATTCCGTTTCATAATTGATTGTTATTTTTTATTATTTTTTTAAAAAATAAGTGGACAAAATTGACCGAATGACCGCCTAAACTAAAATGTGATGAATGCAGGTTGGAAGCTAAAAGTTCAAGTAATTCAAGTATAATTAATATAAGTGGATATAATTAATGTTTACTTCCATAAATTATTATGTTAAGAGGTGCTTAAATTATTTATTATTTTGTAACAAAAAATTTACGATTTCTTAGATTAAAAACTATACTTATTCTGTCTCCATTTCAACATAAATAAATAAACATTAATCTGACTTTTGAGTAAGAAAAGATGAACAGGTAACGATAATTTTTAATCCAAACACTCTTAATTTTGATAGATAAAATATGACTAAAAACATTTTTTAATTGCTGCACCCCACATGCAAGACATTAGTAATTGTTCAGCTGTGGTCTAACATGCAATTAAAAATTAAAATTAAGTCCATTTCAACCTATTAAAAAAATCAGAATGCTTTTTTTATGTGTGGACACGTATATGCAAACGTTGACAAGGATGCGACCGTAATTCCCCATACTTACGTCGTGCTGATCATTAGGAGCGGGGGAGTTAGAGAGTTACGTGCCTTCCCACTCTTTCGCGATCTCTTTCCGCCCCATGCATTATTTAATTAGAATTTTGTGGCCCCATATTATCCTATTTTATTTCTAGGCTTAGCAGTACCATTTATACTTTCTTCTTTGAGATAAGTCACAAGTTTAAACTTACGTACGTCTGTGTGGGGATTATATGCTAAATATATATATGTAATACTCTCTTATCATCGATCAGCCTGTCCACAAGTAACCTTTTAGTTGGTTGACTCTTAATAAATGTCTTCATATTAAGTACTACCTCCGGTCCTTAATATAAGACCCTATTTGACTTTTATTTTGCTCCTAAATATAAGACCCCAATCCACTTTGTCTCTCATATTTATACATTTTTTTTCCAAAGTAGCCCTTCTAACAATGATAGTTATAATCAATACACTTGATTAGTAAGGATGTTTTAGGAAAGACAATACCTATTTAGGACAAATAACTAACTCAACTTACTTCTTTAATCTCCTCAAATTAGTCAACTGACTCTTATAATTAGAACCGGAGGTAGTATAAGTCAATAGCCACATTTTAAAAGCTAGCTAATTGGAATTCGTGGGTAACTCCAAAACTTTATTATGCCTCTCTTTCAAACTTATTATCCAATATTTATAAAACTCATAACAGTGAATTTTATCTGACCTCTTAAGGTTCAAATACGAGATCACTTGTTAAGTTAGAATGACCTCACAATCATTCAATCCAAATACTCAATGGTATGACTTGTCCTAATTTTTATTTTTTCATATATTATTGATATATTAGTATTAAGACATCATATGACATTATACAAAAGTTTGGCGCGAGTCTTATCTAAAGGATATTCAATCCTTAGTCATCTCATGTTATTTTAAAAAGCAGAAGCATACTCGGCAACTGTGAAATAACAACCATACAAGACTGGAATTCATATAGCTTTATTATATGTCAACCAAACTATTAATAATGGCCAAACTAAGAGCACTATGAATTCACACACACACACACACATGTATATAATGGATCATGTATTCAAGAACAGACGGGTAGGTCATAATAATAAAATCATTTACAGGGGAAAGGCCAAATCCCACCGCTACTCGGGAATTTTTATTTCCCCACTTTGTTCATCCCAGCATGTCTCTATCCAATGCAATAGGACTTTCAAGATCTTTTTAAAATAAATTTGTAATTTCTCTTTCAATATCATAATATGACAATTGATGGTTAATAACCCTTAATCAAACTTCAATTGAGGGATAATCTAATGCTTTTATCTCAAAGGGTTTTTTTTTTTATTTCTGTTTTTTTCCTCATTCAATGTTCACCCTTTTCTATAGAGTCGGGTAAGATGAATTTTCCAAATCCTAATATACACGCTAGTGACATTCATACATACATATATTACAGCTATTAAAAAGTTTTAGATAATGTTGTTTTTAGGTCATTTTTTTTTCCTGAATTTGTTTTGTTCCTATACTATGGAATATAGTTCTCCTGTTTGGCTGGAGGGGAATGAATGAGAGGCGATGGCCTGGTTGGAAGAGGAGACGTGAGTTCTATTTCGGATAAAAAAGAAAGAAAGAGAGAAAGAAAGGATGAATGGGATTATAATTATAAATTTTTAATAAAAAATAGTATCAAACGAGAGAGCAAGGACAATTAATTAAAAAAATTTAATCTTACTTTTTCAATTTTTTAAAATCAAACTCAATCAAATCTCACACCTCTCTCTATTTTTCTTCCATCTACTAGTCTATTTCTCTCCAAATAAACGGAGCATTTATCATTTGCTAAAAAAAAAAAGTGAGCATTTATCATACATAAATGACAAATTTTATTACAATGAAGGAAATATAAATAATCGGTCATTTAAGTTTGGGAAAACGTTTGTCGCTTGCTCATCAATGCAGGCATCAGGATAAAACATTTTCCTCAGCGTCATACGTTGGGGCGACGCCTTCTGCTCTTCTGGGACGTAGGATCTGTAGTTTGTCCAATTTACCCCCATTTGTTGCGGCAATGTTGCAAAGGACTAAGGAACCAATATATGAAATAGCGATGGGAGAAAGGAGGGCATTGACGTCATTCTGTTAGGAGCATCGGCAACGGAACCCAGCAATTTTCGGCTTGCACATCACAAAAATGTTTATAGGCTGCACCCGAGGTCAGAGGTGGGCCTCGTGCTTGCCCTTTTTTAAGTTTTTCCCCCACTTTTTATTTTTCACTCACCGCTTCTCTTTTCTCATCGCGATTCCATCTCAAAAGGCAGGGAAGGAGCTCGCAAATTCGTATCTGAAGAGTTTCTCAGTTCTCTCTGTAAGCTCTTTTTTGCTTTGTATCTAGTTCCAACTTTGTGTTCACATTTTCTTTTCGCTCTTTTTTCTGTCGGGTTTGGTGTGTTATCACCTTGATTTCCCTTTAAAAGTTTCTATCTTTCTCTTTTCTCCGTGGAATGAATCGGCAAAATTTCTGCATACAATTTCCCGAGCTCGAGTTTGTTGGGATTTCGGGGCATTGCGAGCAACAATATATATATATATATATATATATATATATGCATACACATACACACACATAAAAAAGGTCGGCATAGATTGCGTTTCGCAGAATTAAAGCTTGTGGTGATCAACATCTTTATTAAACAGTTTCTCTGCTCTCTGACAAAAAGATTTAAGAGAGTATGATATGGGAGGGCAACGTGCTATGTTTAATAGAGACGACTTCGTCTCAGAATGGAGGGAACTCTACTTTCTTGGTTTTAGGAAAGTTTGAGCTTCTTCTCTTTAGGAATATCTGAGGTTGAATTAGCATGTAATATATACAATGAAGTTATTGTTTTGGCATTTCTCCTATATTTCAGCCTGAAATGTTGGTTTTATCGTTTCACTGATGGTTTCCATGTCTTCCTTGTGCATAATGAAAATGTGGGTTTCTACAGAAGACATTGATAAACCATCCAACATTGGCCACGTGATTGTCTTCTGTTCGTGGGATTGAAGTACAATTAAGAGGTAAAGGATGGCATGTAAGGGCTTCTGGGAGTGCCTTTTGAGACTTCTGAACTTCTTGATGACTCTTGTTGGTCTGGCAATGGTGGGCTATGGGATCTATCTGTTAGTTGAATATCAAAGAGCTAAGGGCAACATGCCGACTTTTGCTCCTATCAGTGATGATCATGCTCTGATTCAACTTGGTCGTCCCTTGCTAATGTCTGTGTCTTTATCAAACAGTGTATTTGATAACTTGCCCAAGGCTTGGTATGTATGTTGCTCTTTTCTCTCTGATATAACGAGGGTTGAATATTTTTACTTCTTCCAAATTATATGGAAGATGTCGAATCTTTTCATACCTCCTATTTTGCTGCTTTAGCGTGCAATATGGATCTTAGGTAGCACAATTTTCTTTGTTATGAGTTATAATCACGTAATACTTAGTGTTTCATTTGTTAGAAAGTAAATCATGGTTAGTATCTAGAAATGAATCCCATTTAGCTTTGGAAGAAATACTTTCAAAATGTAACTTGAATAATCAGAGGAATAAACCTCTCTAATTTCCTTATGGGTGCACGGTTTATGTGGTAGGGTTTTTTTCCACATTTTATGATTAGAAAGACAAATCTTAAATGTACACTTCCCAGCTTGTTAGGCATGGTATAAATTTGACTTAACCATTTTACCTTTAATGAAGCGGTCTTAAATACCAAATCTATTAGTGCTGGAGACAAAAAATGTATCAATGGAAGATCATGTACTCATTTTTCGTTAAAGCAATTTAATTTGATGGAGGTGCATAGACCCATTTATTATTTTTAGTTCATGAATAATGTTTTACTTTTTATGCCATAAAGTATCCTTTTTCCCTCATAATTTTTGTCTGTGACTCGTTAGTTTCTCCCTCACAGTCAAAATCTTGTTACATATGCTTGACTCATGTCTATTGCTTTACAATTTGCGTTGTAAAATGTAGTTGACCAAGCTCAAACCGTGTTATCTTAGTCCTGTCTAACACCCATTGCATATTTCATGTTTGCCAGGTTTATTTACTTCTTCATTGGTATTGGAGTAATTCTCTTTGTCATTTCTTGTTTTGGTTGTATTGGAGCTGTGACAAGGAATGGCTGCTGCCTGAGCTGTGTATCCTTGTAGAATGTCCGATTTCATTGTCAAAAATATATGCCAGGTTCTTAAAGTTTAACTCTAATATATGAAGCTTGAGTTAAACACCTCTTTTGTCTTTTGCTTTTCTTCCTCCTGTGTGTGTGTTTTGTGGGCATGAGTATATTAATCAGATGGTAGCTATGAGTTTCCTTAAGCCGACATAGTATTCAGTTTTGGTAGCACTGTTGATTTTGGCTGAGCTGGGGTGTGCTGCCTTTATATTCTTTGACAAAAGCTGGAAAGAAGTAAGTTATCAATGGTGATCCATAATCTGAAATTCGAAATGTTTTTTCTTTCTTTCTTTTTTTAAAAGATTCAAGACGGCATATTTCTTATCTTACAGTTATAAACTTTCAGGAAATTCCTGCAGATGTAACTGGAGATTTTGATATGATATATAAATTTCTGAAAGAAAACTGGAATGTCGCAAAATGGGTTGCACTGGGAATTGTAATCTTTGAGGTAAGCAAGGAGTGGTGCAATTGACATCTATATGCAGCAGACAAGCATATCTCCTTTTGCACAATCCCAGATTTATTATACCACCAAATAATTAATTTTATGTTGGATGCGATATATGTGGCCAACATCACCTTGTGGGAGAAAGCTTGTTGTTGTTGTTTTAAAGTTTTATCTTCACTCTTAGGATTGGGTTGATTAGAGCAAGGATATTTGAACTTCTGATTAGGAAAATGCAATGCTCTTGATCACACTTGATAAGTTTGAAGGTGATGAAACTGTATTGATGCTCACCATCATCCTGCCTATAAATACCTGGTCATTATTCATCAGTAACAAAAGAATGTTGGGTTTTCCGGAATTTAAGCCTAAACTGTACGCTCAAGACTAATTAGCTAAGTTCTTCTAATATTTAGGTCACTAGGCACTAACGTTCTTTACAAGAAAATGCTGCTTTGATTGAGACCAGTTCACGTTAGGGAGGAAAGGCCGGTTAGGAAGAGAAGAGGGGAGGTGAAATATAGAACAGTCTCAGACACAGACAAAATAGACAATTTTCATTAAATCAGTATCAGTCAACTATGAAATCCGATATTTTTGGCGGTATACTTTTATATGTTTGTCTAAGGATTGTGCTTGGAATTGCAGGCCCTTCTTTTCTTGTTAGCTATTATTGTTAGGGCTGTAAATAGGCCGGCCGAATATGACAGTGATGATGAGTTCATTGCTCCTAGGCCTCAGATTCGGCAGCCATTGCTCAACAACAGGCCTACAGGTCCAGTAACAGGTGTACCAGTTGCAGGGACACTTGACCAACGTTCAAGCAGAAATGATGCTTGGAGCGCACGGATGAGGGAGAAGGTTCTGTCTTTTTCTCTGCAGTTCATTTTATGTTATTTTTATTATTGGATCCTGACATACTGCTTGTCTCCATGGTTGCTCTTTTAGAATTTCCATTCAAAAAGAGTTGATAAGATCTTTGTGGAAGTTTGAATTTTATTTTACTTGTCCATCCAAATAATTTTCTGAGTAAATTCTCTCGTTATTGCATTGTAAATGACTGTATTGATGATATCACTGTTTGTCATTTGTATTATGAATGCTTCTGATGCTAGCACTGTCCTTTATTCAGTATGGACTTGATACTTCGGAATTTACATATAACCCATCGGAGCCACAGAGATCGCAGCAAGCGAACTCGCAGCCAACTGAAGAAGGGAGCCGCTGTACTATCATGTGATCACACTTTTGTGCATTGCCGATCAAAGCAAAGAGGATTTGACTTTGAAGGATTGTTTTTTTAGTGGACCGATGGGGGTTGAAGACAAGAATTTCATCAGAGAAGCCCTTTTCTTTTGTTGAGTTTGTGCACAACTAACATTTTTGTGTACCCAACCAACTTTTTCTTTCCAAATTGGTGTGTAATGTTGTGCTAATATCAAAATTGTTTGTTGTGTTGCTTTTGTTCATAGATCGGAAGAATAATGAAGTCGTTGTCATGATGATTATTGTATCATTCTGCTGGGAACCAATGCTTTATATTTCTCCTCCCTCCAATGCGTCTTACTAAACTATTGATGGGATAAAGATCATCTGGCAATTCATTACTAATGTCTCTGCCATTTATGTTTTGTTTTCACTGAGATAAAAACCTGCAAAGTACGTTGGTTCAAGTTCAAGCGGCTTCGTACCGATCTCCTTGAAGAAGATCTCAAGTTTGGGAAAAAACGTCGTACTTTGACTTGATTTAAATTAGAGTAAAGGTGTAACATTGTGATATTTTTCATAGTGCCGCGGGCATCCTAATTTTATCCTCTTTTTTTTTTGTGTGCATCCAGTATTCTAATTTTATTTTTAATGCATCCAGCACTCTAAAAATTAGGGTGTTTGATGTAATTAAAAAATAATAATATCGGGGTGTTGTATGTACCTAAAAACTAAGACTATGGTGCTGGATATATCACAAAAAGGATTAGAATGCTAGATGCACTTAAGAAAAAAAATCAAGATGCTAGATGTATCTTTACCTTTTAAGGGTGTGTTTGGAATAGCGGTGACAGAAGTAACTTCTTTTCAATCTGACTTTTATAGAAGTCAGATTGAGGGGGTGTTTGGCATTCTCAAAACCGCGGTTTCAGAAACATTTTTCGTAAAACGAGATAACCTCCTCCACATATTTACCTTGTAATCCGTAAAAGCACTTCTAAAACCATAGTTTGGTTTCTATGCAAACACCCCCTGAGTAAAAGTCAGATAGGGTAATGTGATTTATGTTTGGATTGAGTTTTGTAAAAAAATCAGTTTGAGAAGTTTAAACTTGTTTGGATGATAAATGTAAAAGCAAGTTTGAATGCAAAATGACTTAAAAGGACATAAATTTTATTAAATATTACATATCTAATATTATATATATATATATATATAATGTGACTATTTTAAAAGAAGTAAGGAAAATAAAATTATTAAAAGTAAAGAAATTTAATATATTATTAGAAAGAAATTATACATATAATGTGACCATTTTAAAAGAAGTATTGACAATAAAATTATTAAAAATAAAAAAATTTAATTTATTATTAGAAGGGAATTGAAAAATACTAAAATATTTAATTAAATATATTACAACTGCAAATAAAACAAGAACACACAACACTAGGAAAACTCAAAATATTGTAACCTTTCTCCCCATTTCACCGCACTAGTATTTTTCTCATTGTGAAAAGCAAGATTTATCAGCTTCATCCCAAAAATCCATTTAGACCCAAAAGCTAGATTGCAAAAACGGAGTGCCAAACATCACTTTTAACATAAAAAGAGCTTTCGCTGGTTGAGATGTACGTTTGGGATCTCAAACTTGATCCCAAACAGGCCCTAAATTAGCTGAGTTTAATGTACTTTCTGAAAATTAGTGATTTGATTTTGGGCCAACCCATCACTCGATCTTCTTGCAACGTGCGATGACACCCATAGTTTAAATTTGTCACTCGAAGACCCATGTGGAATCACGTATAAATATGTTTTATATAAATACAGATAAAATTTTTTTACATACTTATCTTGTATTTTATAAATTATAATTAAAAAGTTATTTATAAGTGATTCCAAACAGTTACTTAGACTACTCATTGAATGTCAAATTGATTTTCTTCCTTCCAATCCATCCAATCCACTAAATATTTTCAATCAATAATATCAATTATAAAACTGAGCTCCCTTTATATGTTAGTTAAATGGGTCAAGATGTCCTGCCGTCAAAATCAGCCGCGTCGGCGGGGCAAATAAATCTCAAAATCGTGAATTAATTAATTAATTAAATGAGTCTGAGAAGTCTCGGCATCAACTTGTGATTCAATATAAATTATTCAGTTGTTTCACATGTTTGTTCCGCGTAAGGATGGAGAATGCTTCTTTTAGAATGATATTGCATATTATTTATACCCATTCAGCGTCACTCTAATTTTACCGTGGAAAACCATATACAACGCACTTATATTTTTATATTTGTTTCCTTTGCTGCAATTACTCCTATCTTTTGTTTCTTTCAATAAACTATTTGATTTTCTAATAACAGATGGCTTCAGCTGTTGGATCTGACCTAAATAATAGCAACTACTATAACTCCATTTTAAGTAATTAAAGTGGCTAGTAGCGCCTGACAAAAATAACGGCAAAGAGGGACAAGAAGAGAAGAAAATAATAATTATGTATAAGTTGACCCTTCTGAACTTTAGACCATGTATGGATAACCTCTATAACTTTTGAAACTGTACAATGAATCCCCCTAAATTCTTACATATATGCGGATAACTCCCATACCACTAGTTTTGTACATTACTTATCCATACACAATCATAAAGTTTATGAGATTATCTACATAAAATAAAGTTTAAGGGCTTGTATAATTGATAATTGGAGGTTCTGGGCATAGACTTAAAAGTTCATGGAGGTTATTATTGAGTTTTAATAAAGATTAAGGAAATTATTTGTACATGATCTAAAATTTACAGGGTTCTGTGTAATTTAGCCTGATAATAACAATGGATAAAATTATGTTAGTGGGTGGTGTTGTGGCGGCAAAATTTGTAGCATATATGGTGAGTTGGATTGGTGGTGGTTAAAGTGGATGGAATCTATTTGTTGAATCTTTGGCTTCTCTCTTATTGATTCAATTATAGGGGTACTAATGTCATGAAGTTGTTGGCAAGAAATGTTAATGAAATGAGGAGGCAATCACAAGACACCATCGCAGATAGAACACAACTTGATCCACCAATGAGATCTTTCCATGAAACTTTGTTGTGTATCTACTCATTTCCTCTTTCGGTTTCTTTAATCACCTTCTTCTACTATCCCAGCTAATTGCATGACGTGCTCTCTATATATTATACGCAAATAATGCTCAATATATATATATGCTCTTCTCTTAAAATAATGGCGACTTGTCTAGTTACCAATGAGTAGCTATTTTGTTACTCTATATGTATCTTTCCTTTTTTGGCATGCTGTTCTATTTGTATTGAATAAGAACTAGTGTCACTGTCCAATACCTGTCCCGAATATTATTGTGTTTTGGAGGATGCTTGGTCCAAAAACGGAAGCAAGTGGAACATTTTAAAGAGAAGAGGATAATGCATAGATGGGTCATGTTGTATGATTTCTCCACTCGTGTCCATAAGTACACAGTGATTTGGATTCTGCAAAATCTGCAAAAGGATGTTTGGATGCGTGGTTTTATCGCCATTGTTTCAGAGCAGAAGTGCTTATCCTTTTCCAGCCTGTACTCTATTGACCTTTTGAAAGCTAATATTGGAGCTCTCTGAGTATGAACTTACATTTTTTTTTAATAACTATTACTTCAGTTATTTAATATGAGAGCTAGTTTGACTTTTAATTTAATTATAAATATCAGACCCTAATTTACTTTGTCTCTCATATTTATTCATTTCTTTTAAAGTAGTCATTGTAATAGTTGTGCATGTTAAAAGTTCATGAAATGATAATTTTAGCTAATATACATGATTAGTACAGGTATTTAAAGAAAGACAATGCATATTTATTACAAATAACTGACTTAACAAACTTTTTTAATATACTTGAATTAATCAACTAGCTCTTATATTAAGGACCAAAAATAGTATTTGTGTTATGAATATTATAATATGTGGATGTCCATATCCTCCTCTTCCTCTCAACTTCATCATCAACTCCCACTACTTCCACTAGGCATTAATCTTCCACTACTCCATTACCTTTCCACTATGTCTTTAATCCTGTAACTCCCCCCACTCATATTCATATGGTTTATTGTCCACTATCTATCATTTAAGTACAAATGTAACTTATGTGTGAGACTATGCCTATAAATAAGGCATGTCATTGTATTGTGAAGCAAGTGAAGCAAAGCAAGGAATACAATATCATTCTCTCATTTTCTTGTCTACTTCTCTTCTCCAATCTACTTTTATTGTTGGTTAATTTCATAACACGTTATCAGCACGAGACTCTACCATCAGAGTTCATGGCTTTTAGTTGATGCACGTTGATGTTTTGTTCGTTGAATGATGATAGTTTGATCCGAAAGTTTGGTAAGATTTCTCCAATTTATTTGAAGCAAATGATGGTTTTGCATATTAACCATATTGATTCATTGGCAATCGAATATTTTATTCATCATATTGAGATATGAAAATTTTTATTTTTATTTCTTACTTTTCTTATATTTTCATGATTCTACTATCATTATATTCTTGATTTTGTGATTAGATGGCCAGAAGCCACATCACGTTTTGATGATTATTTGATAACAGACTATCTTGTGGTAGTAACAGATGGCATGACAAAATTGTCACAATTTGATAATCTATATCAAAGTCTTGAAAATTAATGGCTAAAAATGAAACGATACAAAAGAACTTTGTAATTCTGAAAATCTTGTTATAGTCCGGAAGACTAATATTTGAGAAAATTGATGGTGTGCTATTGAAAGCGAAGAATATATTCATAAGAGTGATAAAGAGTATGATCACATTCTATCAGTGGAACTGATAACTAAAAGGATAATAATCTTGGGGCTTGGCTATTGAATCATAACAGCAGAATTAGTAATAGCCCTATGATCAATATGATAAAATTATGAATAACTGTTATAATATGACCAGAAGTCATATAGACAAATATGTATCAGTTCATTGAAAAGCAAATGTTAAAGAAAGATGGTTGTGGAATCAAAAAGACCATGTGATATTATGAAAATATCGAAGCTAATTTTAATGCCTGAAGGCAGTAAGTTGTGAAGAAAGATAGATATCCAAAGTATATATAAAAATAGAAAACATATAAGTATATGCCTAGAAGGCTATATGTATAATGTTTAATTTCTACCAGTCTTTAAATTTATCATGATTTGTGATAAACAAATTGTTATAAGAATTTGATATTGTGATATTGATAAATGTGTGGTATAAAACTAAATAGATCAAATAGACCCAAAAGTTACTAGTTATATTTTGTTTATTTATATCTTATTTATATGATCTGATTCAATATTAGTTTTGAATATTTTAAATGTATATAGTATGCTGATCAATATTGAAATGTTTTGAACGTTAAGTACTTTACTTTTAAAAGTTCATTTTAAATGTTCTCCATCAT